CAAGTATCTTCTTGAAGTCCCTCAAATTAAGGTAAAGAATAAGAACAAATCATTCTGGAAGAACGCAAAGGAAAATAGCTTTAGATACTTAAGTGACAATTGAATTTATTCTTATCATTGTTTTACTAGCTTTTGTATAATCTTCATCGCTATTATGAGATATAAAATGTATTTATCAAGTCTGTAATCATTATGCCAAAAAACCTGAATTACTGTAATATTTTGTATATTGTTAAAACTGTAACTTTAATTGTAAAAAAAAAAATTAAAAAAAAGTAGAAATGTTTCTGATCTCAAATATGTATAACTATAAACATATAATGATACATATTCATATCAATCAACTATAACAAAACTATCTTTCAAATAATGTAATATAAAATAGAAATATATTCCCCACCAAGGGGGTCAATTGTGTGGTCCAGTGTGAATATACTGAATTTAAGGTCAAATAAACCTTCTTTCTGTGACCTCCTAGGCTATGTGCCCCTTCATAGAGTACAGTGTATGGTTTACTCACCTCCTGCTTCATTCCACTGTGCTGCTTCCCTGAAAGACTAGTTTATGAATGGAGGCAGTTATAAAATCTCTCAGCTGCCCTGTTCACCAGTGTGAATGAGGGCAGAGAGATTTACCCCAATGTTATTTTCACTGTTCACCCCTTGGGCAGAGCTGATGCTGGTTACTTCAGAGTATCAAAAGAGAGGCTACGAGGTTTCAAATATTTGCACTTAAGTGGGGAGAGGGAGACAGTGGCAGATCCTAAATGCACTCCACAAAGAACCATTCTGATCACCTGAAACAACTCAATAGTCCAATCCCATAAGACCTTGCTTAATCACATGCTTTCCCCATGATTTTTAGACATGTCTGTTTTAAAGTGAAAGTGACTATCACCCTATATGTCACAGACTGGTTTCCTGCTCGACATTTTGTTTCAGAAACTATTCCCCAAAGTAAAACTGGTTCTCAAAATAGACTCCCTGTCATTCAGTGAATAAATATTTGCCGTGGGTTCAGAGAGACAAAGAAACGCTGGGAACTTTGGCTCACAAAGCAGCCATCTCAGGAACTGCTTCTCTCTAAGATTCTGTGTCTCTGCTGAAAATCTCTACATAATCATGTGAGTGTTCCATAGTTATTCTAAATTTCTATCCTATTAGATCTAATGCCTGAGTTATTACTCAATGCTGCTCTGTAGATTATCTCATCTCTTTAATAGGCTTTTTCTTTCTGTCTTTGCTTACAATTTCATATTTAATATTTGACATAATGTGCAGGTAATTAGAAAGTGAAGTAAACATTTAACAAAATAACTTTAATTTTGTTGAACTTATTCTACACACACACACACACACACACACACACACACACACACACACACACATTCCCTGGGGAATTCAATAAATCTAGTATAGGCTATGAGTGCAACTTGGGTCCTGCTGTCGTTCTGGAAGACTTTAGTGTACCACCTGCTTCTAATTCCTGTAGTGGTGACCCCTGCTTGTGTTTACTCTAATGTGTCCCTGTCACGGTTGCTTTCTGAGAAGTTGCCTTAAAGCCTTGTCCAACCCTCAGCTTTAGACCAGCTCTGTGTGCCTGCCCTTCACATGGTGTCTGAGCTTGCTGATAAAAAAAAAAACTGACACAAACCAACTTGGGGAAGAAAGGGGTTATTTTATCTTACATCTCCAAGGTCAAAGACCATCACCGAAGGAAACCAAGGCAGGAACTCAGGGCAGGAACCTGGAGCACAGACCATGGAGGAACGCTGCTTACTGGCTTGCTTCCTTGTCCTGTGCTCAGCCTGCTTTCTTATCCAACACAAGACCACCTATTCAGGGGTGGCACTACCCACAGTGGGCTGGGCCCTCCCACATCACTCAACAATGAAGAAAAGACATGGGCACAGGCCAATCCAATGGCGACAGTGCCTCAATTGAGAGTCCCTCTACCCTGCTATGTCATGTTGACAACTAAAGCTATCCAGCACAAGTGGATACCTCATACTTGGTATCCAGTACCTGACAACTCAAAGGTGGTACCTGAGAGTGGTGCTTTTCATAGTGCTGCTTCAGCCCCAAATATAAGGGGAACCAGTGTTTCTAAATATTGAAAGTGAATTTCTTAGCAGCTTTGTCCTTCCCTGATAGTGGACTGTTAATGATCTCTACTCAAGACAGTATCTTACCACTGTACCAAGGTGTAGACTTAAATTTCCATGTTTTTTAAAATCTCAGTAGGTCTTCACCAGGTCCCTGAAGGAAAAAATCAGGCATTTTCTCCAATATTGATGGGTTTCATTCATCATAATGAAAGTCTGAGCAAGGTTTCATGCCTATGCCACCAGAGATGTGCTTTTAAATTTTATGTTTATTTTATTTTTTATGTGTTTGAGTGTTTTTCTGCATGTAAGTGCACACATATTGTACAATGCCCACGGAGGCCAGAAGAGGGTGTAGGATTCCTGGAAATAGAGTTATAGACAGTTGTTAGTTGCCATGTTGGTGCTGGGAACCAAACCCAGGTCCTATGCAAAAGCAGCCAGAGCTCTTAACCACTAAACAACTCAGGACTCTCTAGTCCTGAGATGGGCTTTGTAAGGCCTTAAAACATACCTCCAATTTTTCCATGAGGACCTGACAGACATCCATGAAAAGTTAGTGATGAGGGAAAACTTGCCCTTGAGTATATAATCCCTAAGGATTCCAAACTCTCTTGCTGGTCCACATATTGCCTACAGCACTTTAACAAACTCTCTTGCATCCTTCTCACAATTTAATGGCATCTCCCAACTAGTGGCAGAAGGTGAGGCAAAGTTCACATTCTGCTTCTCTTACAATACACTGATTTTCTCCTCGATTTTAGGGTAACCATTTGCTAAGCCTTGCCCCTCAGAGTCATCTTCCCATGATGGTCTTTTTCTATTTGTCCTTCTCCACCTAAGGTACATAGATGCAGCCATCCTCAGGCCAAGACACAAAAATTATTTAATCTAAAGATGAATGTTTATTCTTCAAATTGAGCTCACAGGTACAAACATTTTCCTTCCTTGGCTTCTGTCCATCCCCACAAGAGAATTCTCCAATCTCCTCAAAGATCCATCTCTGGCCAACAAGCACCTTCAATGGGGTAGCCTCGTCTTGGCTCTTCTGGTCTCCCACAGCTTGTGGAAATTTCCATTCACAGCTCAGTATGTTCTCTCTGGGATGGCTTCTTGGCCTGGAGCTCAGTCCAGAAAGCCACCTCCTTGTCTTTCAGCTTCTGGGCTGGCTGGGTGGTGGCACCAATCTGCAGGTACCCTTCCTTCTGGTCATACTGTGGCCAATGAGGCAGCCCCTTCCCATTGGGGTTCCTAGGAACATAATTGAATAGCATTCTGTAAAGCTGCTATTGGTCCCCACATTTCCATGAGATTTATAAGGATCCTTGGATTACCTCTGCCACAAGGTCTGTGCACCACAAGAGATGGGGAGCAATGTTGTCAGAGCACTGTGGTCATGGGGTTGGAATTGATCACTTAAACTTTAGAAGTCACCCCTTCCAAATGGGCATCCCCACAGTCCTATCTTGCCCACCATCCTGGCACCATCTTTTTCACCAGCCTCACCCGTTCCGAGCAAAGTTGGCCCAGAATTTCATCACCATCTTGCTGAGGTTGAGCTCCTCTTCTGAGGTACCATCTGTGGAAAATAAGATAAAAACCCTTTGTAACTCAACTTGCAATTTATGAGCTAGCAATAGCTTGTTGTAAATGCAGGCCTTTGTTCCAAAATTACTGAGTCAAATTCTTCATTACAAGAAGATATTGGTTAGTTATTGTGTACTTTCAGTTTGAGAATGACTAATGAAAAATTCAGTGATGATCACGCAGTCCATCCCTAGCTTGCTGGTTTTGTCTACATCCCACCTTCCAGTTCCTTCTTACTCAGGATGTCATTGCCACAGCTCAGGTTTTCTCTGTAACACAGTATTACTGGCTCTTGGGTAGTTTCTTAAAATCTTCCCCTCAAATCCACAGTCTCATGTCATGTAACTGGGAGATGTCCAGTGTGTGTAATAAACAGCCAGGAGGTGGGTCAAGTCACATGAACTCCTGAGAATTAAGGTACTAAGGATATTTGTGAGAGGCTTTCTTTAACCATTATCAACTATAGTATAGCTTAAATGTGACATTTAAATAGGTATGCATATAGACAGATACATACGACATCTGATTCATGGCTAACAATGTGACCGCATACTTACATTCTGATATATTATTTTGAGTGGGAAATCAACCAGCCACATTCTTGTCTCCAAGTTGGACACTTAGGGGACCCACCTCTCTTATTGACATTACTAGTCAGTATCCTGAGATAGTATTACCAGAGGCCCATGAGTACATATTCTCTGCCACGCATGTTGGAGCAGAAGAAAGGCTGGAGACCTCCCAATTCAGCTCAGCACTGTTAGGATGAGTCAGGAAATGAATACTAAGAGAGAAGTTGCTCAAGGCCCCCAAACCAACACTGAAAGGAAGACCTCCTCGCTTCATGCTCACAATCAACAATGCACCATTCATTACCTCTTAAAATTGGGGCACCAAAGACGGAGTAAATCTCATCTCCATGATCTCCCATCACAGTCTTGGGTTTCAATTCTGATGAGAAGCTTGGGTGATACTGAAACTCATACATATAGGTTGGGGCTCCAGCATCTGAGGAGACATGGATTCATGCACAATTCACGTTACCAGACACCCATATGGATGGCATCAAGATCTCTACCTGTTCAGGAAACCCCTGGTCATCAGCACAACAGGAAAAGTTCCAGCAAATCTTGACTTGCTTAGAGCTGCTTAACAAGTGAAGTGGAAATTGTGCTTGGGTCAGGTGTGTATGGGACCTAAGATGACTGAATACAATGAACCCAAAAAGTACACTAGATGGGTGTTAATGATAACACACTCATGCTCATTCATTTCAAGAAGATCTACAACCCACGAAGTGCCCTCCATTCAGTAGCTTTAGAGCATTCCCAGTGTTTTGCTCATTCATTCGCGGGAATATGAAACAAATCCAAGTGCTTGCTTGGAAGTCTTATTTTTTAATTCATATTTTAAGTTAGCATATAAATTAATGGGTTACATTATGGCATTTTCATACTTTGTTTTATTCCTCTCCATCCCCCACTAGCTATCCCCTTCCCCTGGTCCCCTCATGCTGGTCCCCTTCCTTCTATCAACAGCCCCAATGCCACTTTCAGGACACGTGTATTCCATTATCGTATTTCCCCTCTCCTCTCTCTGAAGATCGCTCCTTTCTCTCTCCTTTTCACGCGCTAATGTCACTTCTCAGCCCAGTGCACACATATTTGAATCTAGGATCCATACATGAGAGAACATGTGCAACATTTATATTTCTAAGTCTGGCTTATTTTACCTAATATGATAATTTCTACTTCTGCCCATTTTCTTGCAAAAGTCATCATTCCATTTTCCATTGTAGCTGAATAAAATTCTGTCCTCTACCTAGCATATTTTCTTTACCCATTCATCCATTTGTGGACATCTAAGTTAGTTCTACTTCTCAGCTATTGTGAAAAGTTGAGTAATAAATAGATATACAAGTCTATGTATGCTAGAACGTATTTAAATATAAATATATGCAGAAAAGGAGGCTTAAGTCTTTTGTGTCTCAGGATTACTAGACTTTTTAAAGCTGTCATTCCAAAAGAAGGGAGAAATGAACAAACAAAAACTTATGGAACTGATCACCTCTGCACATGTCTTATGGAAATGATTAGAATTGTTTAAAGTAAAGCAAAAAGATACTAATGAACAACATGAAACAAGATAACACAAAATTCAAAGATCTAAACAGAACAGAATTCAGAATACTCCAGGACTGTAAAGATAATGCATATGGCAATTTTTTCCCCAGTTCAAAAGTTATAAGACAAAAATTGCATTAACAACTACAGCTAAACAAATAATCCGCTCTATCTAAAATAAATTTTCATTACAAAACTGTGTAAATTTTGACATCAAAGACACGAGGTGTGTGTGGTAGGAATAATGTAACTATAGTACCTATGTATGAAATTCCTTTTAAAAATTAAAATTTTAATTGAAAAAGAATCTAAACAAGCCAAAGACAGTGGAGAAGATTTTAAATGTCAATAAAATGATCATTTAAATTCCTATTGACATAAAAAATGAATTGAATACAATTACATCGTGCAAAGTCAGCAAACAAAAATCAACAGTATTTCCATGTCCTAAAAATGACTCATGTCCCTGGGGACATACTTTGGGGCTGTATCTTTCCTGACCACCTCTCTCTCTCTCTCTCTCTCTCTCTCTCTCTCTCTCCTCTCTCTCCTTTTTACCTACCAGGAGGTGAGCTGATTTGCTCTACCACAGTCCCTAAAATAATATTTAGCCTTACCTCAGGGTACAATAATGGAGTCTAATCACCACACACTAAAACCGTGACCTGAATAAGCCTCTCCTCCCTCACAATGTTTGTTAGTTGTTTTGTCTGGTGGGAAAACCTGACTATCACCTCTGGCACATATATACACAAGTAGCTCTTGGCTTGAAGGTTTTCTCTGGTCTCTAAAATCTACTTTGTCCATGTGTGCATCAGATCAAATCACAAAGCCTTGAGTACTGGGGGACAGATGTCCTCCCTTGCTGCTCCAGCTGTCCACAATGGGCATGTGCTGGCAGCACATCATTGATGGGCACCCATCCCTTTTGTTTATCACCCCCATCTCCCTAGAGGGGTTTCTCGGGATCAGCTCCCAAATAAGTACTTGCACTTGGTCCTTTTGCTAAAGTTTGTTATTGGCAGAAACAAAACAGAGCAGAATCCTCCCAAACATAAGGATTCACACATTGAGGCCTGACTATAAAGAGATCTCACGTCTGTCTGTCCCAGGAGGTGGAAGGGTTAGAGACTAAAAGCATGAGAGTCCCTATCTCCGAGACTTACCTCTGTGGCCACGGGACGTGATCACAGATGGGACACCAAACAACACATCCCCGATCAACTCCAGGAACCGGTCTCTATTTCTGACAGGGTCATCTACGCCTCCTAAATACCTCTCGGTGGCAGCTGGAATAATATCTTCAGAGATACCCTGAAATGGATGAAGACAGTGACTACCACCAACATATCCATCCAGTTATGAAGGCTTCTTTGTCAACCTCTTGAGCCCTGTACAAATCCTTTCCGGGGTGACGAAGTGGGAAAGTTGAGAAAACTGGGGACAGAACTCTGGTTCCGGTCTTTTTCTGTTGCTGTGTTGATCTATAGTTTGGGATAAAACCTTCAGAATTTCTACATTTCTCAGCCAATTGCCATGAATCCCTAGACACTTACAAAAACATAAGAAGACTCATTCAGAAGTAACATCACCGTTTTCTTATCCAGCTTGACTTCAGGGGGTGGAAATTCCATCATCTGTTTTTAGAAAATGGTGAAGCATTTGTGAATTCTTGGGAAATAAGAGGAAGAAACAACAAGAAAACCCAAGCCAATGAAGAATGAAGGTTCCAGTTCATTGATGGCTTTGAGTCTTTCGTGTATTTAATACAAGTCAAACAATTGTATTTACACAGAGAAACTCAAGGGCTAGATTAGAGACAATTTAAGCACTTACCAGGTTAGAGCACAATGTTTCCTAGGCAGTGAGGAAATGTTTAGACAAAGGAAATGTAGGAGCAGAGAGCTCAGGACAGAGGCACAAGCCACACCCTCACAGACTCAGGTGGCTGAGGAATCTAAAATCAGCCTTTATGGATGTGTCCTCTGATGACTTCTGAAATTCTCATGCAGCAAGAGCTGTGGAGCTCTTTGGATGTACTGACCCTGTCCAACTATCTGCACTCAGAGACGTGACTCCAGCTTGGCTCTAGCAGCTTAAGGCACATCCTAGAATAACCCCACCCCCTACAATGCTTGCCTGAAAAAGTTTAATGCTTTCAAGGGAAATTATTCCTTCATCCGTCACAAGCCTGCTGAGGAGTGGAACAGCCTCCTAACTCTTTCTTAGAGTAGTTATCAATAATTTCTTTGATTTTTTTTAAAGATGTGAAACTTCCATTTAGAATTTTTAACACAAGAAGCCAAAAGTAAAATTGTAAATATTGTAATATCTTTGGAATGTAAATGTATAGGAAAATAATTGTTCTCCTTTCTGGTCCCTGGGGAAAGATAGAGACCTTTGTTAAGGGTTTTACTTCAACTTGAACTTCTGCTTCTTGTCATGAAGAGAAGTCTCTTTTTTCCCTCATCTTGTAGGCATGTAGAATCCCCACCTTCACACCACAGTGCCCACCAGAGTTCTCACCACCCTGGAAAAATCTCCAGCCTTGGTATCAGGGGTTTGAGTTCAGATCATGTTTGATCTTTTCCTTTCTTGCCATCTTATTACTAAATAAACCTATCCTACTGGTTCAACTACTATCAATGAGGTTTGTAATCTTTAAAGAAGAAAAGCTCTTCCTCCATATCAGAAGCAAATGAAAACGCAATCAGAATCAGCTTTCTCTGAATGGCGATGAGGCATTGAGAGCACCTCTGGGCCCTGTGATTACCAGTCAAGGTGGTTGCTGTGCCCCAGCCTGACTCTGCTGAATGCCCAGCCTTTCCCCTGTACAGATGCACTTGGTTACCCCCCTGCACAATCAGTATGCCAGTAGGCCCCCTCAGACTAGAAATTTCAAAACTAATTAAGGAAAGACCAAGAATGTTATGGGCAGAAGAATCCTAAGGCCTGCACTTCTCAGGAGAAAACTGGATTATTCACAGAATGTTTCCTTGGCAGTAGCTACTCATAAAGATGGGACAGCTGTCCTGGACAGAAAGCAGGAATGGAAGAAAAAACTCATGAGAGCACAGGTTGGAAAGATGATGGGTGGGCTATGGCGGAGCTCGTGTCTAAGAGGTCTGTTTTTGCTCACTGTTGGCAGAAACCAGCCAAACTCTTGCTTGTTGATGCCCACGATGTAGGGGACAGTGTTGAAATTCTTTTCAGCCAGAATCTATCCTGGTGCCTTTGGCAGTACCACTCCATCAATCACAGTCGGCAAAAAGGGGTAGCTCTGCGGAAAGAGCAGCATGGTGTGAGGAAACACTGACAGCTCCCTCTCTGCCTGTGTAAAGAAGCAGCCAGAACCTACACCTCCATGACTCTGGACAGTGGCCTTAGAAACTCAGGGTCCTAAGAAGGAAGCTAAAAGGTCTGTGAAACACAAAGGGCTAATTTGGAGAATCAGTCCATGGTAAGGTAAAGATGGCAGGGAAGGAAGCAGGGGAAAGAAGTCTCAAAACTATCAGTCAAAATAAACTACTTTTCTTTATCAGTTGCTTATCTCTGTTATTTAGCAAAGTAACAGAAAACTAGCAGAAGAAGCAATCGAGATTTTTCTTATAAGCAAGGTCAGGCTTTTTCTTCATCTATCTTATGTTCAGCAGGGTAAGTCTCATGGTACCACAAGGCATGGTATAGGGAAGACTGATCTGAGGGAGAGAGAGAGAGAGAGAGAGAGAGAGAGAGAGAGAGAGAGAGAGAATTCAAGAAAGAGACCCTGAAGGCCAGAGTTGGGCAGCATCCATGTAGGAACCTTGACACAGCTGCCCATGAGAACCACAGTCATTGTCCTTTGCCTGTGTTTCCTCCCCTGAGTGGCCTCCCAGCTGGTCTCTGCATCTCCCTTGCCCTTTCACTATAGTCTATTTCTATTGTTGCTGAAGAAACATCTACAAACTCATCATGTCACTGCTCTTTGCAGAGCCCTCTGAACACCTCCCCTCTCATGCTGTATCACAATCAAAGCCTTTCAGTGACTACTTCCCTCTCTAACTCTACTACCACCCCAGGCTCAAGTCCATACCTCCCTCCCTACCATTACTCCAAACACACTTACATCCAGCAGTAGATGGTTGCAGCTGCCCTTCCCTCAGGTTTCCTGACAGCTGGCTTCTTTCCTCCAGGGCCTGACTATCAACACTTCAAGCTACAGTCTATGGTCCTTCTATTCAAAATTCTAACTCAGTCCCCATTTTCCACTTTATTTTTTACTTTATGACAATGGTTAGATAACCACATGGTCTACTACTTTCTTTTTCTACCATACTACCTCCCCTAGGATGGAACTGTCTGAAAGAGATAGACATCAGCTCCTAAATCATATCCTGCTGCATAGTTAGTGCTTCTTAAAAGTTTGCTGAATAACTGAAAGAATTGCACTTCAGCATTACAGATCTTTAAGGAAGTGCTAGGACCCCCAGGGGTAAGGGTGGGGGTAAAGAGAACAGGACTGTACACACTGCATGGCTAATGTCACCAGACGTTGGCCACTGCTGGTCTTCTTGGCCATGTTAACTGATAAGTGACTTTGTTTCTCTGACCTCAAGAAGACACATAAAAGAAATGACTATGATTCTACAAAGGAGAATGCCTTCAGTATTAGTTTATTGGCGTCTAATACTGTTATGTATCCAAAGTTTAAAACATCCTTACCTTTGGAGTACCTTCTTTCAAAATAAGCTTTAAAAGATTCTGTGAAGACAAAGGCAGAAATTGGGGTGAGAAGCTTTGCTATTATAAAGTTCATCTGTTGAGTTGTGTCCCCAGATCCTCCTTGGCTGACGTAAGCTCCTACATTGGGTCTTCTGGGCATGAACACAGACTTGAACAGGATGAGGGAGGCACCGCAGCGGGAAAACAACAGGCCTTGGGAGTGCTGGGGAAACATCACAGAGGCTGTGTGCTGCCTGCGTCTGGTCCTCCTCATCCCTCCCCCACCTGCTCCCTCTGACAACAAGTTTTCTGTAGGGAAAAAATGGAAACAAGGTAACTTAGTGGGAGAAATGTGGCATCCTTGAGGGTAACTGGAGTTGGAGCCAGTGCTGGGGGTAGGATGGACCAACAAGACAGGACGAATCCTTCCCATTTGCCCCTTTGCTACTTTTGCTTCATGAGTTCAGGCATCTATATGTGATAGGGGTCACCACATCCCTGAACACAATGAATCATTCAAAGATGGATACATTCAGCATCAACCCAACATGTGTAAACCCAACAACTGCTCAAATTTGGGAGGGTAGAGAGTTTCTAAGCACTTAAGATGCGAGGGTAGAGTGGTATTGTCTTTACCCTCCCAGAAGACAAACATGCTTCAGAGAGAAGTCAACAAGGCAGTGGAAAGCTGAGTTGTAGATTCTCAATAGTCTTCAGAGGACCTGGACAGAGCCACGCCCTAAGATTCTGTCATGGCACTTTCTTTTTCCTATTCAAGGTTTCAGAAATGAGTACTCTCTTGTAATTTAAAAAAACAACAACAACAACAAAAAAAACTGACTCTTCCAAGCTCACTAACACTTTTTCCAATCCACACTTTTTCTTGCTGTGGTCCCCAAGATTGTGGTTATCAAAATGCTGCTTCACCTAATGAATCTGATCTGCATATATGGTTGTATAGCAAATATCTCCCATAGGCTTGGGTGTTAAAACATTTGGTCTCTGGATGGCGGCACTTTTCGGGGAGGTAATGCTACCTGGAGAAAGAGGCTAGCTGAGGGTATGGCTCTGAAGGTAATTCCAACTTTCCATTATGCTCCTTTCTCTGCCTCCGGTCCACCATGAAATACATAACCTCTTTCTCTACAAATTCCCACAGCCAGGATGTCCTGCCCAGCCATGCAGAGTCAAGTAAGCATGGCTAAACCCTTTGAAACCAGAAGTCAAATAAGTCTTTCCTCCTTTGATTTGTTTGTCTCAAGTAATTTGATCATAACCACTCAAAAGTAATACAATGTGAAAATGACCACTACAGAATAATCCACTGTAGATTTTAGACATACCTCTAACATTCAGAGGTATGTTTATGTGGCATGTATGTGCACACACATGGAGTCAGTACACAATCACGGAAGAACGTCCACAAGAACTCAAATATTCCCAGAGTATGTACTGGGATCTTTGGTACACTTAGTTTTCCAAAAGACACCAACAAATTCTACAATTTGAGTCTTTTTATGCCAGATGGAGAATAGATGAAATCTTTGTGCTTTATGCATATTATAAAACAGTTATGAGCTGAGTGTGGTGACACATGCCTGTAACCTCAAGTATTGGGAGCCTGAGGTAGAAAGATCGTGAGTTCAAGATCAGTCTTTCTACATAGCAAGTATAAGGCAGGTCTGGACTATAGTGACACCCCATCACAAAATACAGAAGTGGAAAAGGTATCTACATTTTGAGCATTTGGGGCACCTTTTTAAATCTTGATAAACCACAACCCAGGACTTGAGCCATATTGGATTTAACCCATGGACATACAGGCAGAACATGGTGCTATAGAGTCCATAAGAGACCAAAAGTGCCCTGCGATGTGCAAGGTTCAAAGAAGTGGAGCTCCCAGTGAATTCTGAGCTAATCGAATTCACACGTTTTGCACAAAGTGATAGTTTCCAGGGACCTGTATATTTTTTTCTCTAGCTATTTGTCTTATGAGGGTCCCTGTGAAGACAGACTGCCATGAGCATCAATCAACTCTCAATATTACCTTCTCTTAGAAGCATCAACTTGGTATTTGTAATTGATGTACCTTTTGGTGCTAGTGTTTAAGAACACCTGCTGCTCTTAGGACCCAAGTTATATTCCCAACACCCGCATGTTGTCTCACAGTTACCTTTAAATCTAGTTCCAGGAGATCCAATACTGTCTTAATGAGTATCAGGCATGCTCATGGTACATATACATATGTGTGTGAGACAAAACACCTCATACACATAAAATTAAAGTAAATCTTTAAAAAACTTTTAGAAGAAAAGAAGAAAGTGTCCTCCCTCTTTACTCCTACCACTCTTACCAAAGTAAACATATGGTTGTGTTTCTTGTAGGTTTTTCTTGCAAAGAGAAAATGCTCAGTTTATTTCCATAGAGCCTATGCTGGCACTACATTTGTTATGGGTGGAAGGAAGGAAAGGAGGGAGGGAGGGAGGGGGGAGGGAGGGAGGTGGGGAGGGAAGGATAGATGGATGAACAGATGGATGTGTGGAATTGTTTAATGTAGTCACTATTGGAAATTTTCACAGGAACATGGGGAAATTATAAAAGCTAACAGATAAGTGATAGATGGCCATTGTTCTTGGAGGACTGGATGAGATGCATATATATGTTGGCTGAATGTCTGATAATGAACACATTGCAGATACAGAAACAGAAAGTTATGGACAAATTGATTATAGATAATAAAATGATTTCAATGAATTGAAGACATGAATGGGTGAGTAAATGAGCAATGGCATGGCTACCTTTGAATCACAGCCATAGAAAATTGTGTGAATACTATTAGGATTTCAACAAATTGTAAATGAACCGAGATAAGCTGTGATGTTTTTGTGAAAAACTTTGCACTTAATATTTGCATCCTCAAAGTTCAAGGTGATCATTACTTGCAGAAATGGGAATGTCTAATTTCTTTAAACACATTCTTAAGCAAGAATGGCAAAACACTGCTGAGGAAAATGTTATGCATTTTTAGCATATTCTTATTAGAACTTTTGGCATTTAAAACATTTTAATAGAAAAGGAAAGCATGGAATTTCCACTTGGGATCAGGTGGTCGACACTGTTTCTGACGTGTGACAGGCTACCTGACATAATCTGGGGAAAAGGACAGCGGAACGAATGAAGCCTGGGGCCGAACACATAGAAAGAAATCCACCTACCATTTTCTTTGTGACTTCCAAGAGCTGGTCCTCTGTCTTCTGGCGTAGGCAGTGAACCAGGACAGGAGATGGGGTGGCTTTGCACCCAGAAGTAGCAGCAATTTGCTAAAGGAGATCAAAGGCAACAGCAGAGGTAAGGGCAATGTCTCCACCCTCCATCAATGCAGACAGTGGGTTCTAGCCTAAGCCCACTTTCAAAAGACATCAAAGAGTTTCTAAAATACTCTGGCAGGCATAGGTTCTGTATCCAATGAATTGCTGCTTCTGTTATTAATTGGAATTGTGACCTGAGCCATTTACATATATAATTCTGCTTACTTATAACTTTAAAAAGTAATGTTGTAAATTGTGCTGTATCAAGAGAAGTTGTATGCAGTGCGGTGAAGACCAACAAACCCATGATTCCACTGTCTCGCTCAGATCCTCTATTTACTTCAGTTTTCAGCACTTGTTATATAAGGAGAGCTAATACATGTGATATGCTTCTGAGGGTCTCCTGTCTTTCCATACAATGTGTGCTTCAGAATTGCAGGGTGTCTCAGTAACATAAATCATAGGAAGACACCAGAACTTTCAGAATGTGTTTTAGATGGCGCCCTAACAGTGCTTCCTGATTGGTCACTCTCACTTCAGGAATTCCTCAAGCCCTTCAGCTGAATTCCACAGTCAAAAAGATCCCTCAGAATGCCAGGAGAGCAAAAGAAAAGCGAAAGAGCTGTCCAGGGTAGGACCTACCTCAGTCACTGGCCCAGCATCCTTCATAAAAAAAACAGAAGCCAGGGTCACGCCACTCTCAGAAATGGCCCTGTGGAAGAGATTCTTGGCCAAAGGAGACAGCACCTGGCAGCAGAGACGAGAGAAGGAACATTTGTGCTCACAGGAGATGGGGGGTGCCTGTGAATTTCTTTCCCTTAAAGGTCTCTCTACTTGTGTCTCTGCCCTTGCCATTTATCTGAGAACTCTGGTACTCAGTGGGTATGACAGCTCCTCACTTGTCCTGTCCTGCCTATTAGAATTTTCTTGAGTCTTGGATTCCCCAAGAGAACCTATGTCTGGTGGAACCAGACTGCAGAGTAAGAAACAGAACAGGAAGCACATAGCAAGTCCCCACAATGACAAGAAAAATTACTTCCAAGACATGCTGGGAATTCTTAGCCACAAATTCTTCTACAAAATTCCATTGCTCAGAACTTAGTCTAAGAATAAGATTCATTATAAAAAAAATGGCTGATGATGTAGCTCAGTGGTAGAGGTGCTTACGGGACAGCTAACATGAAAGAGGGAAGGGATGAAGGAAGGAGGAAGAAATGGGGGAG